CTCAACTACAACGGAACGACTCTAAAATATTCTGTAACGCCGTGTGCAATCTCTTAGCGTGAAATTTTAATGAATTCTTCGCAGACCCTTTTTAATCTTTCTCTTAGTTTATCTTTCTATACGACTAGGTATACACACCTTTCAGTACNATTTTAGGTTGAGATTAGTCATAAGTTGTTTCGTGTATTTTAAATATGTTCTCATAAGAGATACTAGAAGCCCATTCCTAGAACAATAAAGAAATAATAAAGGCAATACTGACTAACGATCATAATTCCTTATGCTTTACATACCAATAAAGTCACACCTTCCTATGCCAGTTGCGATCTACGTAATTGAACAATGCGTTAATGGTTTTTAAATCCTCGTGAATATTCATTGAAGGAAGACGTTGCGGTGGCGGCTTGTGCCGCGTGTATTTGCGGAGGTCTATACATAGTGCTAACAGAATGAGAAATGCCCGGTGGCCACAATTTGCTTTTCCCGCTGACATTACATAACGCTAATGTAATTTGATCTTAAATGGCGCGACCAGTTGCGCGGCCAGGCTACTTTCATAATTAACTTCGCGTCGGTGGTCCGATCGTACATACATGTATACGTTCCTTACTAATTGAAAATTCAGTCCCTTTGTACACGTTTACATCGACGGAACCGTGAAGAGTTAAAAGCATTATTTACACTTTTGCAGTTCCATTAATGTTAGTGGACCATGTTTTTCGAGCTCCTCTTTCCAGAGACACAATTACAGCCAGTCACTGAGATCGTTGCTGGTTTAAATTTTTAATTGCACCGAGATAAAGAATATTGTTCCAACACAAGTACATTTTTTCTCTCTCAGACATTAAACACTACTCGTGTATATACTTTCATACATGACAGCAAATGTTCGTAGACAAATATTTGAAATAAATGTTTCCGTCAACATCAGATCAGAAAGATATTCCGATGCAAGAAAGAGCAACTGTTGTTAGAATTGTTGTGAAAACTTCTCGGAGCTAATGGAACAGAAACTTTCATTTCTAATGAGTTACCTTTTAATGAACATTTTCAGTGAAATTCATCATACATCGCCAACGATAAAAATGTAATTCCATTGAAATTTCTTTCAATGCTCTCTCCTCCGAGCGCGAGGGCGAAGTTAAAGGTAAAGTAACTAGTTTTCAAAAGTACAATTTTACCTTTGGCATTTTTTGCTAGCCGTGAGTCTCAACTACAACGGAACGACTCTAAAATATTCTGTAACGCCGTGTGCAATCTCTTAGCGTGAAATTTTAATGAATTCTTCGCAGACCCTTTTTAATCTTTCTCTTAGTTTATCTTTCTATACGACTAGGTATACACACCTTTCAGTACATACTACTTTCACCATTTTCTCATTATCCTCTGACGCGTTTCGATATGCATACATCACCTGTAATTCGTCGCCATCAATTCCACGAGAGCTAGCCTTTGTGTGTTAATATTGCGTTACAATTTCAACAGTGAATCGATATGAAAATATTACTAATAAAATTGAATTCCAAGAGGCGCACGAGGTTCCAGATGGAATATACACGGCTCGGGATAGATGCATATCATGGCTCAAACATGTTGCAACACCTGATTCGTACGTATAAATCGGGATTTGATATTCCTGTGAAGGCACCGGAGCCAAGATATGCATGTATATGCGCCGGACGTTCTGCGGATTCCGGCCGACAGAGAAGGGTCGAACGGCGGGATCATTAAAGCGGAAGCTGCTCACATCGGAAGCGTACGGGCATTTACGAGCTGCGAGACGTATCGATTGTGACGAGTAAAAGGGGAAAATGAAAAAATAGAAAAGGGAAAAAGAGGTAGCGGATCTTAAAGGTTTTATTCGACGCCGCTGTACGACAGTGTTCCCTTTCTTCGTCCCTTTACGATCCACCTTTTCTCCCGGTGCTTTCCTAACCGAACGCCACGCGAAAGGATACCTTTCAACGGCGAATTCAAATTACGATGGTGAAACGCGTAGCGTGTCGCATACGATGTTTAGGGAAGCACGTCCTTTTTAGTCCTTCGTTTGTACTTTGTTGTGGACGTCGGGTTCAAAGGAAATATGATAAAAGTGAAAAAACGTCAGTTGATTGCTTTTCAAACGAATTTCAAATTGTTCTACATTTAACATTCCTAAGCAAATTAATCTCATCGAATCGGCCCGAGTCAAGTAAAATTGTTTCTTTCAAGAAAATCGGATATTCAGTGATTTCGCTATACAGTAACAACAGATAGCTACACAAGACGTTTGTGTCGATTAAAAATTTCTGTTATTATTTAATCACTGCAATACGTGATATAAATGAATAAATTCGTAGTCTACTGATAATTAGTTTGTCGTAGTTTAAATTAAACTAGCAGCGAAGCGAGGATTAATACTCGTAAGTTTTTTGATACCCACTCTCCGAAATATAATAGATACCGAGGAGGCCAACAATGAAAAGATTAATGACGAGAACTTCGAGTTAAACGATGCAGAACGGAGAATTATAACCAGAAGTTTGACAATAAATGTTATGCAGTGTAATTAACTTTCTGAATAGAGATCTGCAAGACAAAAAGGAGGAGCAAAAATTGGTAGAAAAGAAAACTAAGAATTAAACTATCTGCTTGGACAGAAACGTTTCAGAAATGTTTTACGAATCCTCCCTGTTCCGTGCACAACAGCACAATTACAGATTTCATTGTATCGCGTTTCACTCCGGAACAATAAGTTGCAACAGACCAACAGGAAGATGGATGCATCTTTTTCATTTCAATTATTCTCGAAGTTACGCGATATTATTGTGTTATCCACGTGTAAACGGAACGAGATTTATTTGTGGCTCCCCGCGAAAGATTAATCAAAAGACGAAACAATTTTAGTTACACTTTTCACCCTCGCGTCTGTCAATAATTTCTTGTATCAAAGAGAAAAATCGAGGTATTAATAAAAATTTCGAAAGAATCAATTTTTCTCAATCATTCTTCTCAATCCTACATGGTATACTCGTGTACTTTTCTATGTTCGTTGACAATTAATTCTCTTTTGTTTGTTATTTGCAAACGTGGAATGTTTCCTCTCCTATACGTCGATATACATGATAGTCGCGTTCCTTTTCAATTTCACGATAGGGTACGTCAGGGAGGTCGTGCGATTCCGAATAAAACAAATCGCGTGACGATGTCCCGTTGAATTTTCTCTTTTGTTGAAATGAGAGAAGGAAAAAGAAACGGGCGAACGTCGCGGTCGCTTAGCTGTTTAATTAAATTCGATACAATGGACGCTCGGAACCGTCTCAAACCTTATCTTCCAGCGACCTTGATGCTAGCTTTAAAACTGCAACTTTTCTAGGATATAAGGTCCGCGAAATATTGGCTTTAATATTCGCGCTAATGGTAATTACGGTCCATAGAATTATGAAGCTCGTGTAAATGGCGAGGTTCGTCTCGAAACACTCGAGGGACGAAGCAAAAGTTCCTAAGAAGATTATAATGATTTTTTTTATCAATAACGCAAGCTTCGAAATCTAGAGGAAAATTAATGTATTCCCTCTGTGTAAGATAAGATAGAATTCCTGAAGAATATATGTGCGTGCTATCATATTTTTCCCTCTTCGAGAGATTCAGAATCAAAGTTGGGTTGATTCATGGTATTTGTATGCGGTACAAAATATTTGTCTGCTTTAGATGTAAAAAGATGTTGACTCCAGTCTATCGAATAATTAATAGTCCGTTTCTTTTTGGCGAACCCAAAAATAACCCGTGATCCCAACTTTTTGTAAATTCGACTTCTATGAGTTCCTTCCTCACGTAGGATAAAAGCTGCTACGAACTATGCTAACAACTCCTATTACTAAAAAGCCATGTCAAGAAACGTTGTACATTTGGGGATAGAAATTTGATAACAAAAGTTTCAAAGCTTTCCTCTTTAATCTGATGACCTAAATTCTTACTGACTTTTTCCTTACTTTAGAGTCGATCGAGTTACGTAGAATCGAATCTTTCGCGAGCATGAAGAGGCTTAAAATGTTGATCCCATCTAATCGATAATTCGAAACAGTATTTTTCTTTACAGCCCAATCAGATAGTTTGCTCGTTATGGGAGTCATAACTCTCGCAGATAAATAGAACGGAAGAAAATTGGGTTCAGAAAATATTTTCAGTTAAATTATCGATTTCATTGAGAGCGTTGCGAGCAAACCATATAATTTTCAGAAAACGCGGATATTAATTACATCTGCATAGTGAATTCACAAAAACCACTTTGATTAATTGCTACATCGTATCAGAGCACCTTCAATTTCACGTACAACCTATCATTAAATGCACGTGTGTACGAGAGAAACTTCTTTTTATATCGCGCCGAAGTGATTCATTAAAACAGCTGATCCGAAATGAATTCTTCAAAAAATCTAATATTCGCTTCACCTTCATTAAAAGAGAAGAAACTGGATATATTCAGAAACAGTCAGATTTCACGAATGATCGCAACAATATGAGGGAATAACCAATGCTGAAATACGTTTGATCAATTTGCTTACAAAAGACACGTGGAACTTTTATTGGAAATCACGACATAAATCAGATATTTGCGTTCGTGCACCGCGTTTCACGTAACAGATATTAATTAGTAACAGCAGCCAATTATTATGATTAAAAACAGATTGATCAATCAATATTGCATGATTAAACGAATAAAACTAATTCGTATGCATATGAATTATAGTCGCACGTGTAAATATGTTTCCCCTAACTTTAATTTCGTTTTATGAAACATTTCTTCTTAATCGCAAATTTACAAGAGGAAAATGTAAATCTCTGAACCCGTTTGCAAATCCGCGATATTAACATACATACATATACAATTGCTCACGCAATCTTATTGATCAAATGTTTTACGCGTCACTGGCAAACTGTATAACGTTTCTGCATGGTTTTTATAATACTAATATTTGACTCGCGTGGTATGATAATGAAGAAATAAGATTTCTACTCACGGCTGCTGTCGTAACGTATCCCGTTGAGTTCTTCGAAGCAGGATTGCGTGGCCAGCGTTCCCGGCGGCGTTCGGGGCCAGCACAACAACGAATCCCAGCTAATTTCGCATCCCTGTTGATCCTCTTCGCGGTCCGACCCGAGAGACAGCCGGTGCAGCTCCTCTTCGTGCTTACGCTCTAAACACTTGATCGCCTCCGGGTCCACCGATTCATTTAATTTAATATAATACAAGGTGTTCAGCACGTAATTCCCGGTGTCGGACGCGGTCTCGTTAACCGCTTGCGAGGCCATGGCTACCCGCCGCACGACGACACGAAATTGAATGTTCCTCGATGCGCCCCGGGTCTCAGCGACGTGTGGATCGCCGAAAATGTCAAAACACGGGTTTCGTCTTATCAGGACACCTGGCGTCCCTACTGAATTGTTTACGACAAGTAACCCTCCACGAGGTTCATGTGTTTATCAGCAGAGAGACCGTTTTATAGGAGAATAAGCTTCGATCCTGCTCGCCCACAGCTTCTATCAGTATTTTTTTCACGACTCGAACGATCCCTGATTATAGTCACGATAAATCAAAACACAAGTTTCCTCTTATCTTCGTAATCGGTGCGTGTCATCGTGAAATCGTTTATGCAAAATATCATTACTGAAACTTCGCAGTCGACGCGGTACAATTTGCCTGCTTAGACCTTCTATTCGTTTTTTTCGATTAAAACTAGCTTCCAAGTCACGCTCGTGAGAAACGGCGACACGGCACCCCGTCTTATCTTTATATCCAACCTCCGTAGAATTGTTTATCCGAGATATTCCTTGTATTTATCGGTCAAGGATACGGTTCGAATATTATTCTCGCACCGACGTTATCGTAATTCATTTGCCAGAGATCACGCGTGATTCTTCGTTTCACTCCAGCATATTCGATGGTATTCTCCACGCTATGGAGCAAATGTCAATTAAACGCAATCTATTCCCTTCACGTACTCGTATAAAAACACGGGTTAATCCCTACGGACTCAATTTTTCACCCACGCCCGACACGCAATTATTTCTCTGTAGCTCCGCGCTCTCGTTCGGGAAAAAAAGAGCCGAAGATATTATCGGTCGACCACCGGATTCGCCGACTGATGCCGTTGATCCTCTGAGATTCCGTGCCATTAAAGAAGGGTTGGTTAATCCCCGATGATCCCTCTTCTCCTTTGATCCAGCGTTATGGAGAAAACGCGCCGTCGAGAGGAGCGTTTAACCCTTTCTATCCTCCAGGCACGCGTTGTCCTTTAAAGCCCGACGCGCCGCGAGTATCTCTATGTTCCCACGTGGACGAAACCCTCTTTACACCGTTCTCGACTTATCGTTCTCCTCCCGCATGTAGATTTGCGTAATCCTCTTTTATTTGATAAGAGTCGAACGTTTCCTCGAATTAAGCTGCGGTTCCAATTATGGATGTGAAGAGGAACACGAATTTCGTTTTATCCGCCGAGTGGCTTGCGCGACAAATTTGATACATCTATCTTGAACCGGGGACACTAAGTAGCAACAAGATCCTGAAGGATACTGCTTCTTATACGTTGTTTCCTTGGCTCTCGTTACGGGATCGAATGTAGGATCCTGCCGGGGAAGTTTTTCTAAGCATCTATATTTAGATACGTCAGCGATCGAGCAAGGTTTCGTTAAACTTTCACGGTACAAATCAAATTGGATTATTTCCGGTGATGTGACTTCCGGTTTATTGAATCCTACGCTGGAAACGGACGGACGATAGTCCGCGATGCGGAATAGAAGCCGCTTCTCTTTGAAGTCCAGTTATCCCACTGAGAATACAGGGATTTCACTGAGATCCTTCGTCCGAGACAATCTCTCGGACTGTGCCGAGTTGCACCGGGACTGGTGTACTGGAATGGATGAACCCCCTTGCGTAATTTCAGGGCGCACGGTCGAAATGAGATCGACTTACGACGTATCTCGGAAATCGTGCCTTTTCACCGACGAGATTCCAGTTTATGCTTTAGAAGCGCTTCTCTCTCTCTCTCTCTCTCCGCTCGTTAGCACGTATTACCTCTGACACCGCACGCTATCAAGATTTCATTAATAATTCCGGTTCCGGAAAATCCCTCGGCAATTTCAGTTTCACATTCGAAATGTATACATATAATACCGGAAGTAAACAAGACCGTTTACGAAACGGATAGCGAAGCTATTTGAAGAGCTTGATAACTATTAGGCAAACCATTTGAAACGTAAAGCCAATTATTGAACTATCAGAGACAGCGAGCTGTCTATCCGAATCGGATATTAACAGTTGAAAGACGAAGTTCTCCTATGTCCTATAGTTTTCGCAAGTATCCGACTGAAATCCGGAAACAAAAGGCTCCTCCGTTGGCTTCGATCGCGCTACCGTTCGACACTGTCTCGATGAGACTATCGGTAAACTCTGAGAAGCATGTCTTTAAGAGCCTTTGGCAAACGTGTATTCGTCTCTGATTCGAATCGTACGCGAGCTACAAGGAAAACGGTTCGTCGACACCGAGATTGCTGTCGTACCCTCCGAAGATGCGAGTCAGTTTCGCGAACCTCTTGGTAGTCGATAGGTACGTAAACGAGTTTCAAAACTTCGCTCGCATTGGAATTTGGACGGGAAGTTAGCTCGTTTCACCTCCTTCGTAGAACGTAAATCTTGCCCGAATAAACATTCTTTCGGTCCGTTTTCAAACGCATTCTTCGAGTTTCATGACGTGTAAAGTAGACCGCACACCTCTTCTTGGTTCCTCTTGTTCCCTTAAAAATTTAGAACAACTCCAGCCGGGAATCCTCCGAGGATTTTTCGCACTTCTTTGTCTCTGAAACGTAGCTCCGGTGACACTCGAACTTTCCACGGTTATCGGTCCCCGCAGTATACTATCGATGTTCTCCACTTTTTAAAGCCACTTGTTTCTCCGAGCTCGAGCCGTTCTTCTTGGTTCACGTACATCTACTCAGTGTCTACGTTGAAACTTTTAACTCAGCAGCTACAGAATCAGTGACGCTAGCTTCTCTAATTAATCTCTGAGCGACGAGATTTTCTTAAATAAAAATATAGGAAACGCAACTCGTTCGTCCGAGCCTCGAACTTCTTCCACTAGATTCAAAATTAAATTTTCCAACAACATCAACTTAGATTTTTAATTATCCCTCTGAGACTAATTAAGCTTTTCTTGCGAAGTGCGAGACCAACAAATCAATTCTTAAAGTTTTTTAAATTACTTTCTAATTGACGAGCTTCTTGGCGAACAAGCTTTCAGAGTAAAGATCGGAAAATTACAAGGTAAATTCTTCTCGATGAAGTTTTCGAGGATGTACCGGCAAAGTGCGACACGCGACTGGCGAATGGCACGTGCTTCGAAACGGTCGGCTCCTCGGTAGAAGCGGCGCGGATGTCTCGAGGAAGCTGCGTCGCGACGCCTCGCCGCGACGGGCCGTCGAGAGGCTCTGGCCTGATCAAACGGATTCTGTCAACGGCCGTAGGAGACGGCACGCGGCGCCGATATGGATTTTCGCGTATACCTGGAGCCGACGAGGGCAACTGCCTGCCATACGTTCCGTACACAACGAAGAGGAGCATGCGCCACCATTCTCCTACTCTCTCTCTGTCTGTTCTCTCTACAGCTTCGTTCCACTCGTCCTTATCTATCCCCTAATTGCACCCACCTCACTTTACCCCCATAAGTTTCCTGCACCTGTGCCCCGTTTTCACCTGCCCCGTCACAACTATACACCATTCGCGGGTGATCCTTTTACCTCGGTCTTGTTTATTCTTCTCCAACTACCATTCTCTACCCTTTTCGTGGTAATTGTTCTTTGTTGTAGCTCGTTCGCTCTGTACTGTGGATTCTGTTGAGTTACGTACTTCTACTATTACTGTTTAAAATTCCCTAACATCGTTTGTACTTGGAAAAATTTCTAGTCAACTCTTTACGTGAGGTTTAAAAGCTTTTCTAAATTTTATTAATTTCTTGCTAATATCTTAATTTTAGAAAAAGTAAATTGAATTGGAAGGGCGAAAGTTAAAACGAAATTGTTCCAAAAACAATAGAGCGTAAAATATTTTGGAGCGTGATAAAAAGATAGAGAATGGTAAATAAATTACTTAATAAGATTCGTTTACTCTGCTACCCTTTTATTATTCCGTTTGTATCGGTTAAATGAAATTCTCACTTCGTTTTAGATCAGTTTACTCGTTTCCTTGAATTTCCTTCACTCCCACCCTTATCGAATATTCTTTTTGTTCGTATTTTTCTCCTATTCATCTTCCACAACCTACTATTTTATGCTGTTCTATTTATAACCCTCCTTTGCATCCTACTTCCTTCCATTCTATTTTCATATTTTACTCCCAGTTTTTTCACTTACCTGAGATATGCTCAGTCCCTGCCCTGTCTTCTCATCCTTCTTCTGTTCACTCTCCGGTTTCCATTAGCAAATATCTACGGGTTCGTTCTTCCGTTTGATCTTTGCACAAAAAATTTAATAACAAGTTTTCTTCGTACTTTTTTTAAACAATTTCGATCTTCTTTCTCATTTTCAATGTTTATCAAATGTTCGGGAAGCAATGAGACATACAGTTCACAATCTACGCTAGTTTCTTCGCGTTCCGTACGAACAATATCATTTATGACGTTTCACTGGAAATGTACAAAATTGTATTCTCTTCTATTGACGATTGATTTTACTTGCGGCAGTTTCCCCGTTTCCTTTACGATACCTCCACTTTGTTCCCTTCTCGATGATTCCGTAGATACCTGAAATCCAAACGATCGTTCGCGTCAAACAGGCGACGGTAAAACGTCGAGCACGTGGCACGTAAATCGACCTTCGCCTTTTAAACGTCCGAGTCTCCGCGAATGAAAATTCTTTTGATGCATGTTTAGAATAACGATGTGGTTCTTTTAATTTCTTACAACGTACAAAACAAATACCTGATGCATTATCTCTTTACTTATTTCAATCCCACATATAAAACGATTTACGTTAATACAAAAATGCGAAAGGTATTTTGAAAAATTCCGAACTGATATGAAAATTTGTAGCTTCAAAATGGATGTTCAAAGGAAATCATCAACACGTTACGTCTGTGTGTATAAAGTGGAACCGGCTGCAAAACGATTTCGGTGCAAAGCAGCGAGAAACTATTTTTTAAACGACAATATTCCCGGCGGTATTATACAGCAGCGAAATTCTCTCTTTTAACTCGTTTCCTTTGGCCGTTGTTACGTCGCGCAAATGGACGTAAACAAAGTGCGACGCGATTGAAAAATTTATAGACCAATCCGGCGATCGATTTTCACGACGGGCATAAAAATCGCGGGGGTCCCCACTCTTTTTTACAGCTTTTCACCCGTTTCTCTTTCGCCCTTTTTGGTTCTGACACGGTGAATTATCGTGATCACCGGCAAAAAGGCAGTCGGTTAATACCGCCGAGGAGGGCTCTTTGATGGGGAACAATAAGGGAGGCAAGGATTACGACAAATTTATAACATTCCCCTTCTAGGGAAAATTGCGATTGAAGATGATTTTTTTTATCGAACAAATTTTTTCCCTACATACAAAGCGATTTCTTACATTAAAGAGTTTGTGCCAAATCCCTCGCGATTTAAATTTTGGACGACTCTCCCATTTTTGTCATTTAGTCACAATAAATATTGAGATTTTATTTCTTTTTTAAACTCGACGATAGAACAAATAGTAGACTTCTTTCGCTTGCCATCGTTCCACTTTCCTTTATGATATATTAGCCGTACGTCTTGTTACTCTATTATATAGCTCATGTTTGGAACATGTAACGACGTTAACAATAAGTTCGCTAGAAGACGTTCTTATATTACGTTTACTTTGTGATCACCATCAAAGGATTTACGCAGATTTGAGAAGAACACAGTAAAAGTAATTCAATACTCGACGTTGAAATAGAATTTCAATGAAGCAGAGTTATATTACCGAAGTGAAATTATAATCTGTTGTAAATATTAGAAACTAGCGGTTTATGTACAATCGATAATTGCTATTAAATCGTCTTAATTAAGTATTTATCATCCTCGATGTACAACTACTCGTACGAGCATTTTCAATGCACCGTGATAATGCAACATCCGCTACAAACAGGTGTGATACCATACGAGCGCAGCCTTTCAATTCTGCAATTATGGATTGGCTGCAGAATAATACAATATTTTCCCATGATAATACCGTGCTCGTTTCTCGATGGCGTCATGGCATTTTAATTGCATTCTCCTGTGTATACACCAAAGGAGTTCCAAAGAAATGCCTGCGTAATCGATGTCAGTAAGGAACCATAATTTTGTCAATGAATTCCGGCTGAGCGCCGGTTGGGGTGCCGCGGTGCCGCTCATTGCCGAGCAGATTCTAGAGATAGACAACATCCGGGAAAATCAGGTGGTTGATACACCTGGGCATTAACGCAGGCGGATGTGTTGGAATATTCTTCAATGGAACATACGCGTTCGGTGAACAACAATTTGTTTTACCAACCCGGCATGATGAGTTTCAGTATCCACCGACAATAATGTTATGATATAAAAAGACCCTCATTTCTCTACTCGTAACAATTTCCAAGAAAGCATATTGTTACGTATTGCACGAATTATATAACTTATTTCCTACACCTGCTTCGTCTTTAACGAAAACGTCGCGAGATACAACGATAATGTCGTATTTTTAGACGAGGGTGTTGCGTGACAAACAGGGGAAGTTTAAGATGAAACGGATTAAGATCGATGATAACTCTGAAAAAAGCTCGGTTCTTTAGGGTTCATTCTCCCGATTCGAAACAAATCTCAATATGATATGCAAAGAAAAATTAGACGTCCAGTATTCAGGAAACTGAGAAAAAAGACTCCATTTAAGGACGTCAGAAATTATGATACTGTCTTGTAACTGTAGAACGAAAATTGATATTGATTGCGACTCGTTTTTACTATCTTACGACCTTTTTTTTATTGAATTATCGTAATATCGTCAATCTCCATTTCGACTTGACTGCCAGAGGGATATAACATTAGTATTAATTAATACATATCGATTTCTGGTTTAAAGTATTTACGTATGTACATATATTGTAGATAGATGGATTTATTATGTATTAACCAAAAACCGTTACTCTGATTGTTGCAGCATTTAGTAAGGGCTTCTGCAAGGCAAATTTCGCAGCTTTAATTAACATAAAGTGAAAACTATTAAGATGCATCCCGCTTTCGAGCAAACGACAATAAAACCGAACTTTTAAACGGAATTAGGGCTCTTAGACGAAAGTCCTTGTTAGTTCGCCCGATGGTTTGCAATCGATGCAGATTCAATAAACTGGCGCTATTCCAGGAAAAATGTTGGCGTGGAAAATTTTATTTGACCCTTGAATAATTTAATACGCGTTACAAACGTCCACTGGTCAACGCAGCAGTAATAATTATTGATAATTCTGCCGCACGTCATGCATCATTCGTTAACATGATTTAAATAATAATCCTCAGCTCTCAAATGAAACACGCGGTACTCGTGTGTTAATGGAAATTCGTCAATTTTAATATCTTCTTTTTTCTCAGAACTCGCGGGGATTCGTCATTGTCACAAACTGTTATAACTCAATATACTTAATCGTAACCGTTGAATCTGCTTGAAGCCGCGAACAGTAGTTTCGCGTATCTAATCTGAACAACGTTTTAAGAGGATTAGGAAGACGATGCGATGCAACTGTAAGCTAATTGTGAACATTTGTAAAGCTTAACCGAATCCATCCACCCTTTTGACTATCGAGAACACAGCTCTCAGTTGTTGTCAGACAAATTTGGAAATCCCTGAATCCAGTGTCTTCCTATTTCACGTTCTATCGACACTCGAATCCTTTTACTTTGTTTTTATACAGCGTAAACTCGTATCCAGCAAAGATGCAATAAAAATATGTGATACGAGGTCAGTTTCTATTTGAAGCATTCCGTATCCTCGTAGCCAACCTCGAGAGTGCATTCAAGACGTGAATTTACGTGCATGCAGTTTTCCTTCAGATCTACAACTTCGTTAATATTTCAAATTCCGTCATAAAGCTTTGCATACATATTTTATAGACTCTATATATGCAAGTACGTACGTGTATTTAACCCAGTCGTGTTATTCATGATTTTTACATGAATGTTCGCGGGATTTACAATTCCCATCAGATTTTTATAACACAATGCTTGAGAGCGTATGCATAACTGCAGGTATAATTCAACGAGATATACTTGCTGATGAAAATGATGAAAGTTTGCGCGTTCTAAAATTGAAACGGACAATTTTTTTTTTGCGAAACGAGCGAGCGTCCCCTTGATTTCAAAGTATCATTTTACTCGACTTTCGGGGTTATTTAAAGGCGAAATTGACCCAGAATTCATACGCAGCGCGGGTTGATCGCATTCCAGAGAGAGACCGGGCATCTTGTTTACCGTTTTACTTTTTATCGAACTGACGCGTCAAAAGCTCGTTTTAAAAACCACTCGTCGGTTCATCCTTTTTTTAATCGCTTCCGAGCGAAGCAATTAATGTAAAAGGAGCAAAGAAAGGAGGATGAAACTAAAGAAGATACCATCTTCCGAGCGAGTTGAAACTGGGAAACGTTTAAACTTCACCGAGTGGCAAATTTCTAGAGAGGTGAAAGAAAATTAACGAAGCGACGACGCAAAAGGCGAGTGTTTGTCGAGTAAGCGTACAATTTCGCATCGACTCCCCGTGAAAGAATGTCCTTTTCTCTTAATTATCGTTATCCCAGCTAATTAATTTCTGGTCGAACACCGTTGAACCAATACGCCTACCCCCGTTCGAGGGTGAAAGCACCTCCTGTTCGAACTTAATTGAATTCATTAATCCGCCTTACTTCTTCCATCTGTCTATTCCTGTCTATCGGCTCCTTTTCTTCTCGCCCACGCGATTGTTGCACTCCGTTAAGGTACCTTATTTACACTCTTTCTTATTCCACTTCTTGCTATGGATGGTGGATTTGTACCACGGAACTCCGGCTTCCATTTCACGGGTATCGCGAACGAAGTTTCAACGAAGCAACCCGTCACGGAGATTTCGTAAAAATAATAATGTATCATGCACGACGAAGGGAAAATATGAGATTTGTTAGAGGATACGTACATTTCATTGCGCAACGATATCTTCTGGCGGTATATTCTCATTGACTGAGATTTCAACAGAGAAAGATTGTATTATAACACATTTCCCTCGTCGAGGCTATTTCACAAACGGTGTTACGTTGAACATGTTGGAGTTGGAATACGGCTCACCGTCATACACGTGAAACAAAGTTGCGTTCGAAAGATGTTTAACCGCGATAAGGTGGGGAAACATCGATCAAAAGTAACCCAGACATATGTAGGCCCTTCAAATAAATATTTGCCAGTCACATTTGGAACCACCGAAGTGTATTTACACGTAAATATTTTCCAATGAATTACGTTTCCTTGCTAATGTATACCTCGTGCACCTGACTTATTGTATTTTGCCGGAAAATTAATATACAGACGAGTAAGCAACACCGTTAGCGGTTAATGGAGAGCGATTCGCATCTACGATTAAAATAAATTAAGTAAGAGTGTACGTAATACTCTGAAGTACTTGAAGCACACGTAAAACATTAATTAGGTCAATCTTAACAGCCAGTATTTATTCCCATGGAACCAATTGTACAGTAAAGAACGTGAGGATTATGTACTTGAACATTGAGAAAAATGAATCCTATCTTACCTTTCGTCCTTGTCTCTCTTACAATAAACTGTGAACTGATTACTATTCTAGCAACGATCTCTCGTTTTATGTTGCTCTTATAAATAAACAAAATATCAGCGCCTACCTCACTGTTCTATTTCGATCCGAAAGCTGATCGTTTAATGATCGGTTTCGTTTATTCATCGAAAAATAATATACTATACGTTTTTTACATAAACTATTTCAGTTCAGACTTAAATATGTGCGTGATATATGTAATACAAAATTATCAAGGTAGAAGTCCATTGATTCTTCAAATCTATTTATTTATTAACACTCCAATTATGGAATAATCTCGATAATTTTAATAAATCTTCTCGAAATCTATATATGTACCTATCGTTCATTCTGTATGAGTCACGGCTAATTAAATCGATCGAGATAATTAAGCAGCTAAACGAGGTGTAGGATTACTGTACTATATCAATAAGTCATTAGTATACACATTATTGCCTTAATGTAGGATCTGCTTTTAGTAAGGATCGACTTTTTATTTTTGTCAATAACTTTGAAGGGGTTGCGAGATCGTCTTACGTAGGGCAAATGGATCGCTTCCCTTAACGAGTGGTAGTAGAATTCGAGATTCGAATCTGCCGTAAAGCAGTTTCTTAGCGAAGCCCTGACGTACTACTGCGGTAACACGAAACGACGGGCAGGAAATCGACTCGAAATTTACGAGCAACTGCGTGGATTCGCTTTTATTATAAACCGATATAGATAAAAACCAGGTACGATAGCACGATTAAATGTAAAATAGTTGAAGGCAAGGGCCTTCCTAGATTCGATGTTAAGAAACAGTACAAAATATTATGATTTCCATACTGACCTTACTCGGAATTTAATTGAGAAAAGACATAAAAAATCAAGTTTCGAAGAAAAATCTAATTTTTAATATACGATGGAATTGTCTGAGATTTTGTATTACGGATGAATTTATTTGATTGCGTAACTATGTTTGAATTACGGGTATGTATTTAGATAAGCATGGATTAGAGGTATATATTCGGACATGTGCAAGGTGAATGAAAACTAGATTGGCAGATAATTTAAGTTAGGATTGGGCTACATAGAATTACGTTAGTCTGGCTCGGAGGAAGGTCGGAGTTAGTTCGGATTCGAACGATAACGTGTAATTCATGTAGAAATTTAACAAAAAAGTACACGAATTGCATTAAGTAATATCGCTCTTCAAGAAATATTATAACACATTTAAGGGACACATGAAATTACTTTTAAATAAACTTCGTACCAATATCTACGTTTTTATATTTAACAATTATAAAGAGAATTATTGCTAAATGATTCTCCAAGACAAACTGAACCTTTATTCTTTTTTGCGCAACTAAAGATCATTTCCTTTCTCGTCGAGGAAACATTCCGGTGCACAGAAATCGCAATTTCAGTAGTATAACCGGCGTTATGGCGCGACACGTTGTGGTCATTGCGTCGGAGAACGTAATGGAAAAGTAGTGAAAGAAAACGATTTGCTGTACGTCATTAACGCTACAGCTACGAAAAGTCGAGTTACATACATCTGTATTAAAGAAATTATTGGAAATTAATGTTCAGAAAATAGATTGTACCCAAAAATGTTGTTTAATTGAGCCATTATTTTGTACGATATAAAGAATTTCACTATATCCATTATTTTTACATACCAAATCGTGAGCATTGCAAAATGTGCGAAAATTGAATAATATTCTTTACAGAAAATACTTGTAAAAATGTTTTCTACTATTCGACATTCGTTACACGGTCAGTCTGATTGGGACTCGTTAATATGTTTATAGTGTACGAGCAATCAACGTGGTCGAACTCGACGCACGATTCATACGTGCATACTCGACTAGCTCGGACTTTTAAAGATTAAAGCTTCAAGAGATAAATGACAGGCAGAGTGAGGAGAAGGATATTGCGCGCGAAAAGCCTCTCGAGGTTGCTCGACCTAGAAAATAGTCTACGTCAATGGTCGAACAATGAAGAATAAGGTTTAAACGAGATACCGGCCGGCCACTTTAAGGCTGGCGATAAAAAAACAGATCGACCGACCGACCTGTCTTCCTGCGTGAACTGCGAAGTGACAGCCGAGTGTTATTTTAGAATTAAGGGCAACCTAACTGGTGTACATACAGTCGGTGCACAGTCGGAAAAACAACATTTGCCATGAGCTCAGTTTTTCGAATGGAATCATATCGTTCCCGGTATGCATCCGATATGACGAGTACTTGGAATTCAGTTTACGATTCACCGGTGACTTACATTATTCATTGGGAACAGCGTTTGGTATAGATGGAAATCTTTAATTCAGTGCACTTATCTGTGTTTATGATTAATCAAAATTCCAGCCTATATTTTATTGGAAAAATAATTTCAGTTTTATGAAATAATAATATACGCATTTGTCATTGTCAAACTAAACGAGACTCAATGAAATTATCAATTCCAAATTGGATTCAAGATCTTAATTTTGATACAATTGGTGCTCGACATACATATTTCGATTTGTAAGTTGGACACGAGTTTCATCTATTCTGAGAGCAGTAAACTTGGATTGTTAAAAGCAGATTCAGACGAATGTAAAAAGTTTAAATAAACGATGATCAAATCCGTCATGGAAGATCAAGTTCAAAAATTTTGCACATATTAAAATTGACAATAGTTTATAGTTTGTATGAAACAATGAGTTTAAGAAGAAATCTCTATCACACAGTATTCAGAATATAAACTCGAAGACGTTATTCCTTGCTTAGATATTCCTTGCTGATTTTAACTATTAAATTATTGTTGTACTGATGGAACACGTATACTCATCGTATTGTCTTTGAAACCGTATTCGTACGTGTCAAGATATTTCACCAACAAACAAACAATTGGAGCAAATAAATAATTAAATATATGTAATGACAAACCTTGATGCATCTCTTGACCTCCTTAAGGAATAATTTCCTTCACTAATGGTGTTCGAAAATTGTATCACTACCGGGACGTTTAACACTAACGGTGTCGATATTTCCAGCGAAATCGTTTCCACTGAAGTGAAACTGTCAGCGGCCGGCAAAATTTGAAAATTGCCAATCTTGATTGACCGACTATTCTAGTCGGTTATGATACGCAATCTGCCAATCAACTTCTCCCGCGTCCCTCTCTGTGCACTAATACGCGTTTATCCACAAGTAATATCAGGCTACCGTTGCATTTTCAGGAGCCACCGCGACCTTCTAGCTTTATTTAGAACTTTTAGTGCTTTGGAGAATCCGTCGAGTAAATTTCCAAACATTTCGAAACACGGGACTTTCATAAACAATGTAGTAATTACGCGCACCACGGATATATACTTCGATTGCAAATTATTTCAAATTTTCTACTTGACGACAGTGGCGCCCGAATAATCTTCGATTCGATCTTCAATGATGCCAAACGTGCAACAGGTTTTAAGGTAACCCGCTTATTATTTTCATTTACTATCGACTGTTGTTTCGGATTGTTGATTGAGAAACTGGAGATGGATTTTTTGAATTCGGTCTCTCCTTTCTGGTATATTCTTCGATACTAAAGCTTCGCGAACGAAGTCATTTTGTGCACTATTGACGCATATTTTGCATTATCTGAAGGAACTCGCGGCGACAAACGACTTATCTTCGCTAAATATTAACTCTATCAACAGCATCCGATCTGCTTTCAAAGAATCGTGATGCAACCGTTTATCAGATAACCCTAATTGTAATCTGTTGAACGAGAATAATTACAAGGATACACACTTCAAATTTTGCACCTAGACACAAACGAGCAGAAATTCTCAGTGCAATAAATATTGCTTTATTCTTTAATTAATCCTTTATACCAGTCCATAACACTTTTAGTTGTTTACTTAAATTATTTATATTACTTTTTATCTAATTTTACATTTTTTTTGATCGGGTTAAAACTAAGCACAAGTTGTTAACAAAATATCTTATTTAATGCTTCGAACACGCTGCTTTTCACATTAATTGCTTAAGCTAACGATTTAAGTTACAGTATTTCATTCGTTAGTTATCCGCGTAGAACTATAATAATGAGTACAGAGACAAAGAGAAATGTTAATATGCCTAAGTACCAAAGTGAGTAACAGGAAAATTTCAAGTTTGTCATTTGGAACGGAGGGAACCTGGCGTAAACGTTTATGTTACATATTACCTAAGAATTAACTCTTCCCGAAAAGGGAAACATTCTACAAAAATATAATATTAGAAGTTATAATACATATCCAGGTTAAATATTTAGACAAATTTAAATATAATAATAGATCCTTGTCAAGCTTAATACTTCTGTACATTATTAGCAGAATTACTTTTCTGAGGACAGTTAACGAAATCATTTCTGTCTCTCGCATTACGGCACAGCTGCTGATCTTAAAGCAAATAGATAGTTCTTTCTAATTAATTAATAAATTCGTTGCAGCATTCGCGCTTCACTCGCGCTTTATTGTCGCACTGTATAATTTTCCTTAGGATTTGTGCGCATCGTCGTGTACCTCGCTTTCAACTTCCTCGTTAACTATGTACATAGATTCTGTAGTGTTGGTACCTAGAACAAATTTTATAAACACACATTAGTGTACTGCGTTTGCAGCACCTGTATTTCTCTGTTCAAGTTCGTAGTACAATATTCTTAACGTTATCTATATTTATTTAATGGTATACATTTTGTTAACTCAGTTCTGCACCGAAAAGAATTCCAGTTATGATAATATTATCAACATGTAGACCAACCAACTCTAACATGCTTCTTATCATACTTCGTACGCGAATTACTATTATTTTTCACCTGATAGTAATAAAATAACTGTGATAGTGGTAGAAAGTGTTAGTACATTTGCATTTTTAAAACAGATATTATTGCCTATAGCACCTTACATGCAATTATCTATCATGCGAAAGTAACGTGACATTTTTAAACCCAGTACGTCTATGCAGTATTTGTCGTACTACACTATTGCAGTAGGCAAGCTTCATCACTTTTTGTGTAACACATCAACTACACACTACGATATTACATTCACACACACCTCAGTCACTGATAAAATGTAAGCGTTATGTTAGGAAGGTTTACCTATGAAAACCAAATGAAGAATAAAAGTAATAAGAGAACCGAAATAAAAATAGATAGCTAGGAATGGAGTCCTCACCTGAATAAAATTAAACAAGAGATAAATTGCAAAACTGTAACTTAATATAAATGAGAAAATATTTATTCGATAATCAATTTAATTACTCTATAGCAATTAATATTTGTTAACTTCATCGATAATCTGAATCGCGATAAAAAATATATATATTATCCATCTCTACGGAATGATATGGATGACGGATGATCTTCGGAGGAGTTAAACTGATTATCGTGTCAAACGAAAATACGTGAAATCAGGAAAATAAATTATGTACCAGGTTTACAGCATACTATCAGGGAAGGCCCAGTGATGCGATTTATAAATGCGTTGATTCAGCTTGCCCATTATTCTTAGAATCTACATACTTGTCTGCAAGAAAGATGTTCGCATATTACATAAAATTAACTCCATACGGATTCCACGTCAAGCCATGTGAAAAACTACATATTGAATAAAATTTATGACGTAGAGATATAATCATGAATAAAGTACAAAATTTGAAATAATAAACCTTTCCCATAGTACCCAATAAACATTATCTCAATCCGATTTATAAAATTAAAAAAATTTTATTAACAATCGCGATTTTTCTTTTTTCTACCTTAATTGTGATAATGTGATAATGCATAAATGATAATAACATAAGGTTTTTAACACATTAAGTGCCATGATATTAACGACAGGATGGAAAAATAAACTAAAGAGGAAAATGTGCTTTTTTCAATAACGATGTAACAAAGCTGTCACTTTTATGCAAGTAATATTTTATAGAGATGTAAATTGAACGACGACGAACTATGCAAATCACTTTGAAAGACTCTCAATACAAACTTTAACAAGTTAAGCGCCTATATCGAGACATTATTATTTAAAAAAGGGACAACTTTGTATTATTTCCTTTCATTGTTACTAATACATTAATACAAATATTACGATCCGTATAATTTTTTATTATGATGACCAAGAACAAGTTTTATAATTATATTGCATTTGTTAAAAGATTTGCAGGCGCTTAACGTGTTAAAAAGACTGAGTTGTAATGTTTTCTTACTTTTCGTCTATAAATTTGTCCACTATTTAACTTCAAGCTTGCCAACAATTCATGCACTGTGCAAAAGTAATTAAAATTTGATTACATCTGAGAGGTATTATTACTTAATATTTAATTGCGATAATCGCAATTAATGTACTACCATTCAAAAAAATGATAGCAAATTCTACTTCCGGCAACGTTTTCCTCCATAGAATATAACTGATGACTTTAACGTCTTGTCACTTAAATTATTAACACGTTATTAGTAATTAATCTAATTGGTAAGTTATACGTTTTCTAAATGTACTATAGATACTACAAGCAATAATGTTATCTTTCTGTTAAAAATATTCGCATTATCTTTGCGAAAAGTGCTCCCAACGTGAAGGTAATGAAAAACTTGTCAAAAAAATTATAAAACTTGCACCAACTTGTGTATACGAACGTATATATCAAACGTTATGCTGATTAGTAAAAAATATTCATACGAACATGCAAATAAGATGCCAAGACAAAATTTCTTTTTCGTTTACAATACATCAAAGTATTCCTTTTACTTACCTGCGATGACGAGGTCGACCATTGCCTTATCTTTTTGTATGTGCAACGCTGTAAGGAAGAAGAACAAGCTGCCGATGACCTCGACGAACATCGTAAGGAACATGGCGTACTGTAAACTGCGGAACTCAATAAGAGTATCGTCAGCTTCACTATTATATACTGATACTGGTATCGGTTGTACTGGACCGTTCATCGATATATTGTGCACATTCGGCCGGAGGATCGTTTTCAAGCCTTCCGATAACTGCAATCGATCAATTACAAAAATAATCGTTCATACCATTATGACGTTCAAATAAATATCCACGAATCGTAGTTGACATTTACCAAGCCAATGAGGTAAGGACTTCCCGCGTCTCCGAAAGCATGTGCAAAAAGTATTTGGAAAGCTTCCGCCGTGGACCTTCTCGTTGGTATCACCACATACTGCGTTAAACGACAAAATTAGAAGAGCATATCAATTGAATCTTAAAATGTACAAAACTGAATATCAGAGTACATACCAACAATATGTCGGCTACAATAGACCAATTTAGGTTCAACGATAATTGTCCAAAGAACACTAACGCATAGCACGCAACAGAATCTGTATTGGCAGTTAAAGTTGCGAAGAACAATAATGGTACGCTAATCAAAAGTCCTGCGGCGCATATCAGAGGATCTGCTTGATGCCAGCGCACTCTTAATTTCTGAGCTAAGAATGAACCTAATGGCACTCCTATTAAACCAGATGCCATTCCAATTAATCCAAATTTGTATGCCACACTGCAATATTAGAAACATAAGAAAAAATTAATATTCTGCCAAATGACTTATTGAATAAACAGACACAGATAGACGTACTCCTCCGGGTCGACACTTTCTCCATTAGGATGTAACGCGAATCCCAATTGTAAAAATGTTGGAGCCCACCAAGATAGTGCTCCAGCAACGAATGCTACGCATGTAAATCCGCCAGTGGAGAGCATAAAGCTTGGACTGGAAAATTTAATAACAGCATTGAATACAGCAAGTGTTAATGTAGATATACGCGTTCTTACGTATTTAGTTCTTTAATATTTACTTTTTTAACAACGCTTTAATATCACTTGACCATGAAGTGCTCGTCAAATGAACTCCACCCTCTCTTTCCCCTCTAATAGGATCTCTAACTACTGTGAGTAATAAAATAACTGCTATTAAACCTAAGAACGGAGTAATGCGTAAACCCCATTGCCAAGCTCCAGTATATTTTGCTGTTTCTCCACCTGTTATATATCCTAAACCACTGAAAATCAAATACGGCTCTTTAAATCTTTCTAATAATTAATCTGACTTGATCATTTAAGAGCATTTATCAAATGTACCTTCCAACAGGTATTGCAAAGTAAAATAGTGCAAGCATTTTAGAACGCACATCTTTCACAAACAAATCGCTAATTATTGTCGGAGCAATTGTAGAATAACTAGCTTCACCTATCCCTACAAGAGCCCTGAATAAGATAAACCATCCAAATGACTGCAATAAATAATTTCATATTTTAATTGTAACTAAAATTCCAAGTGGAACGAGCTTCGATAATTACCTTCATGTACGAGCCAACGAATGTTGTCAAACCCCATAAGAATACCCCGCTACTCATTATAATCTTTCTGTTGTAACGATCTCCCAAATAGCCAAACAAAGGTGCAAATATCATGTAACTTAAGATAAATGCAGTTTGAAGCAAACCAGACTTATCATTGCCGATTTGAAACTCTTTCTTTATATCTGGAAGTACTCCTATAAAGAAATCATATGGAAATATTAGTCTGTTGAACTCTCATGTCGCTTATCATTTTTTTAAATAATACAACACACACCAGCGACCGTGAAACGGTCCATATAGTTTATAAGATTTACGAAACATAACACAATAACTGTAACCCAGTCACTCCTGCTTATGGATCTCAAATCCGAAGGCATTATGCTTTTTATTCGTTTCTCTCTGGTAGTGTTCTGAGCGTTCTCCGTATTTACCACTTGATAATCGTACGTAGATGCATTTGGAACTTCATCAACTTCGACCATGATTCAATCGATTCGTGTTCCGTGCCAATTTTTATTCACATTGACACAGAATTAGGTCTTTCCGTAAAAAAAAATTTTTTATCCATCCGCATAACCTCATGCACGTATCAGTCTGCCGCGAGACTTATTTTTATGAACTGCACTACTGAGATCAGGACCGAAGTACCACCGATGCATTTCTGCGATTCATCCATGAAAGAAAAAATTGTCAATCCGTAAAATGCACCGTTCAATCATTGTCTACAATATTTATACGTTGACTCGCGCGTGCTAACGTCACACATCACACCATATCGCACGATACGCGTCTGCGTCGTCTGTATTAGCTGGCGCTGCAATTTGCATTACTATATATATGCAGCTTGATGCAACTCTAATAATTATTGTTTGAACTGAAACTTTTTAATATTCGTCGCGATTCCTCGCGCAACGCTGTTGCCTTATCAAGCATGTCGCGGTATTTATAAAGCTTGCGTACAAAATACTTTTCAATTGATATCACTTTTATTGAATGAGATAGCTCGGCTTAAAAATAGAAAGTTCGCGCCCGAAAGTGTCCGAGTGTTTTGAATCAGCTCAATAATGACGTGGCACTTTTGTTATTGGTTCATCCTTCGAATGACTTTTGTTTTAATAAGTATTATTCGCGATAAAATACATATATTCCTCCTGTGCATGAAAAATTGATATAAGAACGAAATATGTACTCATCTCAATTGCTAATCTCCCGTATTTCGATGGATCGTTTTTTAAACTCTTTTGTGGGGTATTGCATAGAAATGGGAAACAACTGTCTCGTTTAAATGAAGAATGTAGCCTTTATTTTTAAAAGATACCTTTCTAACTCGTCTCTCTTTACTTTTAAAATACAATTATCATATACAAGTATACAATATGTGTTGTTATAATAATCGCGAAACATATTTAATCATTTCACTTCTCACGAGTAGGTTTATTACGAAGGAACATGTTTCTTTTTAATATGATTCACTGATTGCAGTTGATTTATTACCGTCGTTTTACGCGTAAAAATATATTTACGTGAAACAAGCCATCTCGACCGTACAATAATATACCTCATCAATTGTGTCCTGTCTGTTATCGATGGTTCCCTACGATTCTCATTGTCAGTTATAATATGTCGAGGCAACTTAACCACTGCTAATACCTTAGAAATTACTTAAGTAATATTTAATGTTAACGAGCAGAAGGTGAAAATGGTGAAAAACAATAATGCAGAAGAATTCATAATAACATATATTCTATGTAACACAATACTTACATAGATACGTCTATGTATATATTTTTCGAATCGGTATATATATACGTATACACGTATAACAATCGAACGTTATTATACGTATATAATATACACGTAATAATTAATAAAATATAATGTTTTTGCTTTTTAATAATGTTAATCGTACGTGACTGTAATATATTATTTTCTCATTTCCTTCTCATACGTATATCATCATCATCGTCGTCGTCGTCGATCGATCAGCTACTTTCTACACCATTCATATTGATTTTCATATAATAATAACAATGATCTCAAAAGGCTTATACAATATTCGGCTAGCGTATAGATAGCTTGAGATTTCTTATTTGTCGTTAAATATTTTATGTATATTCTCCTTATGATACATGGTAAATTCATCTGTTGAATCTTAAATCGCATCGTTCCCCTTCTTTTATCTTTATTTGGGTATCTGTACTTATTCCTACGCTGCAAATATATGTTCACTGTCGTTCTTGTGTTCTTTTTTTTTGTTTTATACAATATAAATACAATTTCTCTTTAAATACAGATTCTCACATCTGCAATGAAGCTGTTTCACGCACGTGTGCTGGCTTTTAACGCTCGTTTTTATATGCACGTCCGTGCGGAATATCTGTGCACTTTTGAGGAGATTAATCTTCCCGGTTTTATGCAAACACCGGTTGACCGGTGCAGACCTCATGATAAACTTTTAACGATAATTTATTCTTGGCATAATTTTATTCAAATAATTGATTTCGTCATACGCGACTGCAAATCAAATACAAAGATACGGGTAGTGTTTTACTTATAAAATCGATCAATCATGATATCTAACGTCATACGAATAAAAAAGATCGAGTTGGAAGTTCAATTATACCCTGTGACAGAATCTCGGGTTCGAAATATCAATGGAAATGAAGATAGCGAGAAGGAGCCAAGGAAAGGAGACAGACACGAGAACTTCCTTCTCTTTGGAAACTGATGAACGGGTCCGAATGAAAATTTCAACGCTCATTGCTTCTATTGATTCGAAGTTAAAAATATCTTGAAACGTCAAATGATTTCGTTTGCATTAACGGTACAATTCAACCTCGAACCACGAGGGATTTTATTGTTACGTAACGAATATCGTTGATAAAATGTATTACAAATCTCGAGAGATTCCATCGTTATTGTTTAATTCGTTTATCTCCTGGATAAATGTACGCGAGACAGCGAACGGCTGTCCGTTATAATTCAGGTCCACGGATTTAATGGTCACCGGATAGATGTAACAACGACGTTAACGATGAAGCCGTTGAATGAATGAAACGTACGTAACGCGTGTTACGATACGCAAAAGTAATCGAAAAAGAATTTCATATTGTTCGGAGTTAGGTCCGTTGTCGCGAAAGCAAATTGCATTCGAAACGAACGCGTGCGTTTGTGTCCGGAATACCTCGAAAGACGAGTATCCGCCGACCGCAGAAATATTCACAAACGGTCTGATTGACACGGCGTTTAGTAAATGAAATAAATTAACGAAGCGTTCGGCGGATACCCGGCTTCGTCGACGGAACAACATATCGTCGACAGAGGCGCACGGGGCGCGCTATTTAACAAACGTCGGGTTGCTCCGTTATTCTTCCCTCGTTCTTTGTGCTTGATTTCGTTGACGCGGAAGGAGAACGCGTATATAAAAACACGGGACATCTATTGCTATATTACTGTATTGCAAATGCGTGTTTCGACCCTCGCGTCGGTTCGGTTGGTCCGACTCCTATGCGTCTCGGCCATCGTTCGAACAATTAATTATCCTGCCCGTTTCAAATTCAACGACCGTGTACAGAAAATTTGTTAAAAATCGCTGCGCTTCATATTTATATATTAATTGTTCGATAGCGTTATCGAAGAAAAGTTGTACGACCAACGTATGTATGTGTACTCTTACGTTTTTTCTTTTTTAATATTACATGTGTATACAGTCGTGTCGGGAGTTTTCGTTCTTCTGACAAAAGACTTTAGGGGATGTTCGTGATGTCAGCTGGTGAATGGCTCCTAACCGGAGCGCGTGAACGTACAATTGCTATCGACGGTACACTCTCTGCGTTTGCCTGCGATCCGGCCGGCTGATTTCGATGAATGCGTCGGATCGAATAGAGTGTACGAGCATTCAGCATCGGATCGGTGTTACCGCGTGTGAACGAAAAACGCGAAACCTACGATGGATACACGCGGGCGCAGCGCCTGCAACGACGCGAACAATCCAGTCTACGCGTACTAAGTACGTCCAGTTTCTTCGATAATAATCCGATCCTGATATGCTTTATTATCTAATCTTGCGTACGCGCAACGTTGGGAGAAAAAATCGTCCCGTTGACGCAACGCGAAGATGAAACAGTCTTTGCGTCTTGCGCGACGCTCGTCGTCGATGTTGTCTATAGTATATATGTATACGTTCTATCTTAATTCTATTAATAAATATCTAGTCGAACAAATGAAACTTGCCGTCTAATTAATTAGTGACGTGCGCTGGCAACGTGCGGCGCAACGCGTTCCTTTGGGAACAGTCCGAGCCGTTTCCCGTTTGGTCACCCACCTTCGCTTCTAACCGATCACCCATCGTAACAACAAATTACCAGTGCTACCAGCGACGCAATCGTACTTCCGTTACCACTGATTACTTGATAAATGTTATGTAATTCGAGATTAAATTCAAACTACGTTAATGATTATGTTTCTCTCTCTTCTGTAAGACAGCATCTCAATCCATATCACACTGCAGATTCTTACTTATAGTACGGCTAATAATATCCGGAATTTCGTTGCATTTCCCAATTTCATTTCGTTAGTTACAATATGATATTGCTAACGATTATTACTGTAACTACTCTTATCGATACTACGAGTCTCACAGACTATTTATCGTTAATGTTCAGGAAGATGGTGTTCAAGATTTTGATAACTGTTAAACGTTACGAATAATCCTAAAGTGTACAGTGTGTTCGTGTTTCGTTTGTCTGTATGGGCACTAACAGATATCGACACCGATGTCGTGACATACACTCGACGGAATATTAAATGTACCAGCGGCAAATAATTAAGAGCACCATTCTCAGCAAGTACGAATCAATAGGACCTCGATAGACGGTGATCGATCGATCAAGGGAACTCCGCTTCCTGATATTGACCCGCTCGCGAGCTCGAATGCAATTTGCGTTTACACGAAATCTATTGAAGCCGCCTCCCTTTAATTACATTATCGTTTACTCATTTTTATGGAGTTTACTTTTATTTAATATTAGGATAAAAAGTATGCGTGTATCGATTCGGAGTTCGATGGATTTTAATATAGAATGAAAAATCTACGGGAATACACAAATCTACTGATCACAAGAATTATACGCACGATTCAGTATTTTCTCTATTCTATGTATCTATGCTCGTTATTAGGTTTGTCATTTTAGGGTAACGAACGATGATTGGACAGAATCGTTTTAGAAATTCGATTAATCGAAGACGATGTTGAATTTCGAAACAAGCGTTTCGCAAACCGGCTCAGAAATGCTCGCCTTGTGGGCGAGAGAGTATCTCGAGGCTGCGATTATGTCCCATTATGGCACGAGTATTAAAGAAGCGTCTACGACGTAAATTTCTTCCGATAAATTACAATGTACGTATATACTTGTTTTGAGCAACGAAATAAATACTATGCAAGTATACAATTGAAAGACTTCGTCCGTCAGTCGAAATTAAAATTCGTCGATAGACATTCTTACCCCTAAAATTATCTGTAGTACTATCACAATGTAATTAACATTAATGTACGTACTTATGTATGTTTTCAAGCTTCTACGATTACACTATCCCATTCCTTATCGATGCAATATTCAAAACTAATTAAACATTGAAAACTAATAAAACTAATTTAACAGACGAAATACATAATCTACACGACACAGAATATTGAGATTGAAACTTGCCAATAACGCTCGTGTTAAAATATCTTCCGTCAGTTATTAAAATCTAACGCGACAATTATAGCACCGCTTTCTCTTTCTTAATCTATTAATTATTCAAGCATTTCAATTATAAAAAGAATTCAAATGATCACCGATCGCGCTTTTGTTTACTGACGTACGTTCGACGATTTATTTTTAGGGAACGTGATAAACTTTGTTATTGCATTTCGCCCGAAACGATGCGACGTACATACGTACGTGTGTATATGCACATAATTCGCGGACACAAGTATTTGTGTCGACATGACAAGATTGTGTGTCGAAATGAAAAAGTTACGGAACGAAATAGAATAACGGCATAAAACGGATAAAATGAATTAATAAGTTGATACGGTTTTTTTTTTGTTAGACAGGTTTATTACCATAAATGAGTCCGACGATCAAATTTACACTGAAATTGTTTGCCTGTGGACGTTCTATCATCCGGTTTATAACAATGCGTGTCTCAGTCGATATACTCTGTAATCGCGTGTGTGAAGTACCGTCACGTTCGTATTAAAATCCGAGTGTCATATAATGCGACATAACCACAGCAGCAGTTTTCCGTTTTCCTTCTTTTAATATTAATCTATGCGATGCGCTTATTCCTCTCTTAACTCGCGATAAATAGAAGCGTCTGCAGCGATATACGGATATAAAGATTCGATAAAGAGTCGCTGGTCGCACACAGTGCCAGCCCTCTTCCGGTACAGTTTCTGGTCAGAACGGTGCGCGTCCGATGACTCGATGATTCGCGAAACAGACTTCATCGGGACGCGCGCCGACACCCGGAGAGTATTGCGTAATACTAAACAAGTCCTCTAAAATACATTGATAAAGGATTTGTATTATAGCGTACTCCTCTCTTCCGATCTCTCTTCATCTTTTTTTTTTTTGCGTTTTTCATTATTTAACCATCGCTTAACCGTTACTGTTAGTGACGCCTAGCTTTAATAGACTTGTTTTCATTTAAAAAGTGATGATAATGACGATGACGATGGTAATAATGATAATCAATAAAAATTAATAATTAATAATGATAATAATATAATATAATAATAATATAATATAATAATATATAATATAATAATATATAATATAATAATATAATATACTATTAATAATATGTCTTTGCTTTGTGCGATCGACCAAGTGCGGGACGTGGTCGAAAAGGCGAGCTGCGCGGCGAGAAGACTCGTCAACGGTAATTGACTCGGTGTCGCTTTTATAAATACGCCTTTCGCCTTCTGTCCGCGTCGTCGTTTTGTCGCGTGCGTCGGCGACGATTTTGCTAAACAGGTACTTTGCTATACGTGCAATAAATTTCGTCGCCCGTTGATCGTCGAAGACATCGCCGTTCGACTCGGCTCGACGTGATCGTGGACCGTGGGTCGGGCGCGTGCACCGGGTGCACAGCTGAAACGTCGATAGTATAGTCGGGAACAATCCTCGATCGCGTCGGTCTTCGTGATTAACAGAGAACAGGCAATCCGTGTCGCGTCGATTTTTCAGCTGTGCACGTCGGCGCGTGACACGGTGTGTCTTTGTATCAACGTCGGTTCATAATAATTAACGTGGAGCACCCCGGTCGACCGCACGATCAAAAAATTGCATTTCATTAAATCGATATGAGATCGTTTTGGTATGATAATCCCGGCCATTCGATTTCTCCGCGACGCGACGTGCCGTCCCATCTTTTTATTCTTTTGTCTGCTAGCTTCCGAATCTCGGCGATCACGCTGGGACGCGACGCGCTGTGCCCCGCGGCACGCTTCGATTTCCATGTTATATCATGTACTCCGGGCGGGACGATCGCCGTCCCCGCTGTCGTCCGATATAGGATTTTGATCGCCCCTAATTGGCTCGCTTGTCGAATCGATCGAATGTGTTTACGGTTTTAATATATAACACGCGCGGACTATGCTCACAGCTATCGCGGGCGTACAGCGTTGCCAGCCGTGTTTAAAAACGTGTTCCATTTTCAGTCGCCACTGCAGTTTGAGGAAACGTTTCAACGATACACATCCATGTCCATCGACCCGCGAGAAACGGAAACGGCGAGAGCAAAAGGGAATTCTCGCGATAGCCGCGCGATCCCTTTACGGAGGATCGGGCAATCTTGAATCGTGGCAACGCCGTAGACCCACGAGAACGACTTTTATTTTATTTCGTTTTAACAATTATCTATATTGTCGTTGGAGGATAGTCGGCAGAAAATGATCTGGCCTCAGATTCGTACCCGGCGTTTGAACGTTTTCAGGCGATTCTATTAAATGCGATTACAATATATTTCTATATTTTACAATTAATAACGAGCGACTCGGCTGCAACGAATTTGACTAAGTAATCGTATCGACGTTCACTTCGTAAGAAGATACATATGAAATATAGCTTTCGGTGCCTACTGTCGGTCGAGCGTTTTGATCGAAGCCTGGAGACGACGCGACGAGAAAGTTTTACGCGCGTACGTAAATTATTTAGACTCGCTTGTGTCGTTCGTCGTTGATCCTCCTCAGACACATTCGCCTCGATCGAAACGACCGACCGTTGCTTCTCCTTTTTTTTGTACGAAATAAACCTGAGGTATCTTTAAGTCTGTAAAGCTTCCGTTACGAATCATTTTTTTTTTTATTTTCATGTTAAGTTCTCGTTCTCTTTCTGTTCTTACCGCGTTCTCTCCGTAAATTCTACGTCTTAGCGTGAAAAATTTTCGCCTCGTGAAAACTTTCTCTTGTTTGTTCTTCGTCACTATTTTTTTTGTGATTTTTTTTTCATTTAAATTTTTATTTTAAAATAAAGTACCAGAGAACATTTGGCATTTCAGATGGCACAATCGTTAACCTTGTACTGCGATTAGTCCACGTAGTGCCTCGTGTACTTAAATTCACGCCAAAATTCTCTTTCGACGTTCCTCGCAAGAAAGGTCTCTCTCTATTCGAAAGGCATCGCTTTTCAACGTCTCGTATGTACAGGAGCAATGAAAATATTTGTCGGTCTGACTGGTGCCGAATAATACTACTTACTCGGTTACTCAAAACGTTCAATCTATCAGGTTCGTTTAAAAATATAAAAATAGTTACTTGCTGTACAAGCAAAATCTCTTATGTATAAAAAAAGAACGTAACGATAAAAAAGGTATGAAAAATATTCTGTCTGCAAATGATATATTAAAAGGTGGAGCGTTTCGTGATAGTTTCTGATTGAAAAAATACTAGTTCTGTATGAAAATATTGTTTTTAGTCACTCGTAGCATTATTCGGCGTTCTGCTGTGGCTACTACGGAAATATCCGATTGTACACGGCCGAGAAACACCATCCCGAATTCGACAATTTTCTTTTTTTTTTACTTAAAAGAAGGAATCTATTTGGACGGCAGTTACTTTCTATCCTACGCACGAGCGATATGCTTTCGACTCGTAACCTTTGTCTCCTATTTTACATTTTCTTATCACGTTGTCCCTTCTCTTTTTTTACATATACATGTATAACGAAGTGAAAAGACGAATCGTCTTCCTCGATTACCTTTCAAGCATCGTTCGATCTCAGAGCGCAAACGTTCGCAGTTTTCATAAACGACAGATTTTTTAATTTATTCAGAAATAAATTTCAACGAGAATCGATCGTTTGTGTTCTAAGATCGAGATCACTAGAACCTTAATCATTTTTCTAAGATCAGCGGGCTTAGCCGGTTTCTTGCATTCGATCGAGCACATTGACGGTTTTTCCTTTGCCTCTGATGCGTCCACGAAATACTGTTCCATCAGAATTCGTTCGGACTTGGCATACATAGATACATGTCCCCGTTGCCAGTCAAACCGATCGAAGAAACCAACGAAAACAAATTGCTAAGTACGCGAACAGTGTATTTAAAGAAAAGAAAGGCAAATATAAAAAAAAGAGAAGTGATCTTTTATTATGTTAGTCCCGCGGCGGCGTTGATGAATCGTTGAAAAGTTCTGTGTTAGATATGGAGGCAAATTGTTTAAATCGATCGGAAATACAAATAATGTCTTTGGTTCGGAAATACAATGATTCTATGCACGTGAGTGTCGCGGCAGGAGTAATACCGTTGCGATAATAAGAAACGTTGGCAGATAATTGAACTGATCCTGTGATAATCTTTTCCCCATCCGAATTTAACGTGGCTTCCCGCAAAAAAAGGACTCTATAATTGACTATTCTCCCTTCTCGCTTTTTTAAGTTTTCTTCTTTGTTCATACGACGAATCGTCTCTTTGTTTAATCTCAAGTAACGTTATAATCGTGTTAAAACGAACGTAATATATGTATATAATTATAACATTACTATACATATAACTATTGTATATATAGGTATATATATTAAATATCGATAAATGAGAATGTTATAAATCGTAGAATTATGCGAGCAAACGAGGATAAGTCGTCTCGTTCACGACGGCGAAGAACCGCGCAATTAAATTGTACTAAAAAGATGAGCATCGATCAAGACGATGGAAGTACTCTCTTCATAAAATAGAAAGAGAAGACGAAACGAACGGGCATTAGCCTTATATTACACATTTAAAGTCTTTAAAATACCCTCCGAATTTGATATCCTCTAGTCTTTAACAAAAACGAATAAAATTAGTAGCTAGTCATTGTTTGAAATTTGTCGACGTAATCCAATCTTCATGTCTCGATACAACCGAAACGGATTGATTATTAATACGTAGTATTACGTAGAAAAAATCATAGAGATCAAATGACATTTATTATTCTTGGGCGTGTATTTCATCTTGCCCAAAGATTTTGCAATATGTCCAAACTAAATTTTTCTATGTCGCATCGCCGAATTTCTTCGTCGCGATTACTAGTAAAAATCATGTGTCTTTGTATGTATGCATGTAAGTGTCGTGCGGACGATCGAAAGCGAGAAGGTCTAACGATGCCGGTGAAAAGTAAAAACGCCCCGCGATAGATAGACAGAAGCTGCTTCCTTTATGCGTCGCACAGAGTCGAGTTCCAGGAGAACAGTTTTGAAACATTATCGAAGCAACTGTATTTAACCCTTTCACTACGACGGGCGTATATATACGCCCTTCGGAGTCCATCGATATATACGACGGGCGTATATATACGCCATCTGTATTTTTATACTTTGATACCTTTTCTATTTTACCAATTGATTCAATATGGACTTTATCGTTCTTTGGAACATATGAACTACGCTTTTGTCAATTGTTTCGAACGATTTTTTATTAATTCTTATCATATTTGTTGTGATATTGCCGTTACAAGATGCAATAAATGATCCACTGGTCTGCGCGGCGCAGCAACCGACGTGCGTATAACGCGCCGCAGTGAAAGGGTTAAGAAAACTCGAAAACTTCGACTTGAACTGAATCATAATTGAAGCTTGTTAGAAATTTGTTGTCGTCTGTGCCAGGCATAGGAAATTCGCCCTGCGAAATTATGTTTCTTATCTGTGTCGTTTCTCTACACATACACCTATATACGCATTTTCCTAATATACATATATATCCAGAGGGCGAGATCCTGGAGAAAGGATCCTCGCCGCTGGGATACAATCGATCGATCGATTCAACTGCGAAGCCCAACTATTATCTCTAAACGAAAAGTTCACACGCAGCATTTCATTCTACTTGCTTTCGTCGGCGAACGCGGTCTTAGGTCGTCGAGAGGAGGCTATGGTAAGCAGCCTGAGCCCGACACGCACGAGGGGGCGGCCACCTTCGTAGCCGTATATGCGTGTATTTTGTTCCGTGCACGAAGCTCGAAAACGACGTAACAATCGTTTTCTCTCGTATTTTTTTATCGCATGATTTATTTCGCGCTTCAACGGATTACTTTTTAATCTGGCAGTATAATAATTGGTGTATAAAATTTTGCATCGGCGCGCATTTCCTTCACTTTATTTCTCCTTTCTCTTTTTTTATTCTAATCGACGCGTTACTTTCTCGTCACGTTTGATCATTTTGTCATCAACCTCGGTCTAATTCTTGCCTAATTTATTTATGTCGGCCAGCGGCGAATCCGTCTAATTAATACGATAAAATTTCGAGATAAAATATCACATGATTTTCCCACTAGGCTCGCGACGAAATGTATCTCTTCGTTCTCGACTTGCCCGGCTACGTCCTTCTAGGAAGAACAATCGGTCGAACCGAATATTCGATACAACAGTTTCTCTCGGTCTTCCGTTCGTCCGGAACGCGTGTCGCCTGCGTCTCCCACGCCGTTAATTACGTACGATATACAAATTATACTAAATTGACTATGCGAACGCGGTATCCGTAAAGAAATACCAATATCCTAGCAGACAAATTAACGCGTTTACTAAAATTTTCAATTCGCCAATAGTCAAAAATATAAAACTTTTAATGAAAAAGTAAAAATGTTTAGATTCAAAAACCTATATTGACAAGGTATGTGTTATTTAAAAATATTTGTTTATTTCACAAGACGTGAATAAAAACAAAAGTCGATATTTGACGCGCATAAATATACTAAAACAATATTTGCTAAACGTATCATTCCATACTATTTGCAACAAGTGAAAATTACTTTCTCTTGCTCTGCGCTCTTTTCTCTCTCTCTCTCTCTCTCATCCTCTATTTTTTCTGAACGAATACACGCGCACGGAGTCAACGTGAGGACGAATGGATTGACCGTACGCGTGAGACACGCACACGCGACACGGGCCACGGGGATCTCTCAATTTTCCGCAGGGATCACGTAACGATCGTTCAAATCCCCCGAGAAAGGCAAGGCGAGAGAACCCGGCGAGGAAATCGAGCCTCGATGCTTTCGTCGGATGAAGGAAGACCTATTGTAATGACCTAAGAATCGGTTCGGGAACTTCCACGTTTTTCTAACAGGGCACGCGTTTTTGCCGTTATCGGTTTTCGGGCCGCGCGTGCCCGTCGAACCAGAAAAAAAAGAATTATCTTTCCTCTCTATACTCTTAATATTCTTCTTATTTGCTGGCGAGCCGGAAACGAGAACGCGTCGCGCGACTTCTTCTCTTTCCTCCGGACTGAGGAAAAACGAGGAAAGCTAAATAGATAGTTAGAGAGAATGACAAAGTGAAGAGGAGGAGGGAAAGAGAAGTAGAAAGGGCGCGTCAGTCGTCAGAGCATCTCGTTCCGTGCGCCAATTATTCGCTACCTACTAATCAAAATCCCCTTGTTTATTACGGCTAAAAAGACCCTGACGGAGTTTGCCAAGTGCCAGAACGAGAGCGATAAGAAATCGTTTGACGATCGGTCAACGATCTTTTTCTAAAATCATCCAGTTTCGTTATATATTATATATGCTCGAGTCTCTTCTTCACCGCTCTACCATACTAGACGAAACCTAACTTTCCGTGTATTTAGACGATGCTCGAGGGCGGTCTTACTAGGCGTTCTGTATCCTCTTGCCACGCACGCAAGTCGATCGGCCCTTTTAGTCGTCCGCCATCCGTCATGGGATTGACGTTTTCTCTTAAAATCTGTCTCCCTCGCTGCCCGATTTCCATCAGATGGAAAATCACGGCGGAAACGCGACGATGGGATACAAGGAAAATAAGGAAGTGAAACACGGAGAAGAGGTGTTCGACGCGTCGACAGAACGTTAACAAATATCGTTTAATGATCTTCGGCTCGACGGTGTCTGACGAAACGTCGTCTCTTCTCCTATTTCGTAGATCCGATTCCGGAAGATGGTGATGGTGGACGATATCACGCACGATGTACCCGTTTGTACATCTTTCCATGATCGTGATTAATGCACGACGCGAACCACAGTGGAGGAACGCACGGTTTATCGTTCGCACGAGTGCATCGAGCGATTGTGTGGTCGCCATCGCCGCGCGGTAACCGAATGTCGCGAAACGATGATAATGACGACGACGACGACGACGATGACGGCAATGGGTGTTGTAACATCGAGTGGTGGTTACGACGATGTGACTGACTGTGTGAAATTGGCAATTGTTTGCTGGCAGTTGGCGAAAAGTTTTTTTAACGTAGCATTGGCAAACTCTGGGGTCGACTCGGCGACGGTTTCCGCCCGCGGACATACGAACGGGGCGGCCGCTTGGCCTAGTCGCCGAAACGGCTGCAGGCCTTTTTCCATTTGCACTGCGTGCACCACAGGTCGCGATGCTCCATACCGTAGACCTTGCGGCACTTCTTCGTCTCACCGCGGACCCGCCGCGGCGACGACGGCATCTTGCCGATCGAAACCGTCAGCAGGCTCATGTTCTGCTGGTACGCCTGGAACGGTCGGGGTGACAGCTTTATGTGTTTGATAGGCGTTCCCTGCGGACAGAAAAATCAGATTGTTTTCGCATACTTATTCAGACACGTCGACCCTGTAAATATATTATGCAAGTTGACTTCGTAACGCAAGAATCTGATTGCATATTGAATAATTCTTATACAAGTGCAAGGATAAGTATACGACTTCTCTCTTCTCAACACGTGTACAACCGTTCGACATATGTTTCCAATAAAATGCACGTGAAAACGAGATTAATGAGTTGCGAAACGATCCGACAGCCGATTATCATATCGTAATCAACGTACCGGTGATTGCGAAATGGTGAACGTGGTGTTCCGTTCTCTGTTGCCGGGCATCGCGTTCTCTGTGTTGTTCGTGGCGGAAGTGGCCTCTAAACGGAGCTGCTTCTGATACTCGGGGTCCTCGTGCGGAGGCCTGGCCATGTCTCGGTGCGACATTGTCGGCGGCGAGCTCATGTGATTGACCGCCACCTCCTGATAATAAAATTCCTCTTCGTGGTCGGAAATGTCATCGTCCTCTTCGTTATTGTAGCCGTTCGACTTTTTCGGCCTGCAAAACGTGCATTATCCTCATTCAACACCCGTCTATCTCGGAAAGTCGTTCGATTCATTCTTCGTCGTGTTCGGCATTGGCACGAACACGTCTTATCTTATCGATCGGTTCAAGGTTAACGCCGCGAACGTCAAAGGCTTCGAGGAACGATACGAATCCACACATTTTTCACTATATCGTTTAAACTATTTATTTTAAAAACTCGTACTTTGCTCGATGTTGTACATTTTCAAATACAAAGTAACGTGCGGAGGTAGAATAAATTTTGTTACTTATTTGAACTTGTCGTGAATGAATAATTGCCAGAATAAAAACGCGATCTTATTACGGTCGCCTGTAGATCGGGAAGGTCTGATACTCGTTAGACCAGGGTTAATTCTTCGCGTACACGGTTTGGCGCTCGGTTTCGTGCAACGGTCGCGATAAAATATACCGGCGCGTTGAAAGCTCGTAGGATTTTCACGAGACTTGTTGCGTCTTTGCGGCTAGCCGAATACGTTATACTTACCCCAAGTGTGATTGGCGCACGTGCTCTTCGATAAGCGCCACGGTAGCTTTGATCTCCAGACAACCTGGCCAAGTACATTTGAACACTACCGCTGCGTTCGCCTGAAATCACAACGAATTTGCATGGTTTTTAAAAAGATCATTTTCACAGTTTAAGTTAAAGATTATTAACAACATTTATTGATAACTGTTCTTGCAAGTTACAGAGAATAAAACATTGAATTGCATCATATTTTCGATCGATCGCACAGAGTTTTGTACTAAAACAAATTTGCAAGAGGATTTGGGTTTCGAATTCAACTGCTGGTCCGATTAACGATTGGTCGTTTTAGTTTATTAAAAAGTGGATGGCAGAGATATGAAAATCGCAAAAGAGCGAAATTAAAGTGAGAATCGCGGGAACCACATGGCTCGGAGAACGCTGTATCGTTCCTGGATCAATAGCACGTGATCGTGCCGGTATAAACAAAGAAACGTGACGCGCAGCGTACGCGCCGGCTGGCGCGCATCGATTTTCCCTTCTGCACGGGGCTTCGCACGATACGTGCGATTCCATGCTGTTGGAGGACGTCTAAAATCGTTGACGAGATATTTTGGCATTTCGGAGGCTTACACGGGAAGCATACAAGATTATTTCCAACAGAGTTTTTAACACCCCTGTCTGCAAATCTTTTCAGCGCTTTATATTTTCTATATCGCGAATTACAATACAAATTGTTCACGTTATTATAAAAATAGTCTACAGTTAATATTGAATACTAGTTATACGATTTTTTAAACATTTTTTGATATTACAAAATTAAAATACAAACGATTAAAAACTTGGACCGTTATAATTCTTCACTTTTTTTCTGATTTTGAAATAATAACGCGAATATACTACGATGCTGTATTTTAATTATAAAGAGGTCGAAAGATGAGTATTTATGCTTAGCCAATAAAAGTTCTATTTTCGGCGATAGAGTCAGTGACCCAAATAATAACCATTAAGATCGAGGGGCCTGAAAGCTGAAAAATTCAAGTCTGGAGACAATCCTTTCCGATCAATTATTTCACGTTCGACGTAAGTTTCTTTTTTACTGCAATCACAGGGGAGAGAAACTTCGAGCAGCGCGATAAATAATAAAGAAGATAATGAGGATAGGAGACGTTCTAAAGCTACGTTTGTCGAAGGTATCGATCGCCGCTTCATTTTAGTCAACCACACGTTCAGAATACGTACTACATAGATCGCAAGATACATAGGTTCATTGTCTAGGAATGGAAACCGGCTCATCTTTATTTCAAAACTTTTATGTAATTCTAAATTTGTTTCTTAACGTCGTCGTCATCAAGAGATAATTAATAATTAATTCTCCTTCATTTTGTTCATTCGTTTAGGTTTCATGATTTAATTATAAAGTTAAAAACCATTAAGAGAATAGATAGAGTCAGTCTATTGCTTTAACGAGTTAAATTAAAAAATACTACACGTTTCCAATAAAAATAATCATCATTTCATAGGTCTGTGTGCAATTAACAGACTTATTGTTCGTACAAAATTATATACGGTTAGCAGAAACCAGCGGACCACCTTGATTTATCTTGCGTAATTACACCTTGAGAAGTTAACGAAGCACTTGACTTTTACAATAAAAACTCCACGCATATAGAAGGGAACAGAGTTTTTCTTTATATTTTTATACACCTGTGCGCGATGTCAACTGAAAATTTCGACACGAGTGTCCGACATTGGCCAGGCCCGAAGGGCACATTCGGAATAGTTGTCGAAAGGTTAAAAGCGAAGGACGGCTACGAAAGAGGAGTGACACTTCGAAGGAGCGCTCTAGCCAAGTAACGAATTCTTTGCACCGCGGGTCATCGGCGATCCGCGAACTTTGCCCGATAAAATATCTACGCACCTTAAAAGAGACGCGTCGCGTTCTTTCGGTGAATATTAAACATGCGGAATATTTTAAAGAACGGTAGGAATGATGTATAGATGTATAAATCTCTCTGCGAAGGATATTAATCCGGCAAATGCCACAAACCTTACTCGAAGCTTATGCATACTTCTCCACCTCTTCGTGATCTCTAAATTATTTTCCTTGATGCATTTCGTATTGCTTAAGATCACCGATCACAGCTTTTATTATGCAAATGCTGCCATTTGGAAATCTATTGTCTTAGGGGCAGTCAGCTTGACATATACTTCACTAAAAAATAAATCATGCTGAGCATGTAACTGTCGATATCGAACAATGTTGTGCCCAAACAGATAACATTGTAAGAGTGACAAATCGACAAGATATAACTTCATAGAACAATACACTCGCATTTGAGATAAAGAAACGTGATATTAACTAGCTCTATGACAATTATTTTTCAAGGACCAAAGCTTTGTCAGCGAGTGTAACGAAAGAAGATTATTAACATAAGAAAATGTATGGCAAAGTTTACATCGATATTAATAAATTTTTTCCAACGATGTAAGAATTTGAACGCAGAGAAATGCATCGCGAACGCAGTTACCGGGAGAGCCAATGACGCAAATTCTCCCCCTTGACCAACTGAATCAGACGGCGAACGGTTTACGCCGGTACCTCTAGGAGCTTGAAAGTTCCAGTGGAACAGAAAAAAAAAGTCGGAGTCGCGAAAAGCTGGTCTCGCTTCTTCAAGGACCTTTCCCGATCGTGACATCACCTCTGGAACGGTACACACGGCGTACAACACGGCGTAGCATAGGCATTGCCGAGGTCACAGACCTTCTATGCCGGTTGGCAGGCAATGCCCTCCCTTTGCTTTGCCTTGCCTTGCCTTGTGCCTCGTACCAAAGAAATCGGACCCGATCCTTTTCCCTCTCGCACGCTCCGACTTTCAGTCACGTTAATAATCACCGATAGTCGTTGACCGTTGGATGACGAATTGTCCTCCGTTATCATCGAAGCACATTAGATAGATCGTATATTTAAGAAACCTCTTTTAAACCAGAAGCTGAGATTAATAAAAGAATGAGAAACGCTCCGACAAAACGAAATAGAAGAAATCTATTAATCGTTCGTATGATTTTAAGATAGTATCTATCCAGTGCGCGTATACAAACGGATCGTGTAAAATATCTATTGATCGGTGGATCACATAATAGTCGTTCGCGGACCAGTTTCGTAGGAAGAAAAAGGAAACGATGAAGCCCGCGTACGGTAGTATGTACACGGTAGCGTACGTACGCTGTGTATATACATGTACACTAGGCTGTGTTAATAGGTTGCATCGTGCGCGACGCGATGCACACAATACGACCGATGTAATTGGTCACGGTCCGTCCCATTGGCGAGAGATCCTCCAAAAGGAGCAACGTGAGGGCCGCAGAAAGAGAGATGTAAATCTTGAGAGCGGAGCAGTCGGGAGAGAGGACGATCTTCTTCTCGGTACGTATACACACATATATGTATACATATATATACACGGTTGTATCGTTTGCGCGGTCTTTTCAGTCGGCAGGGATGAGTAAGCGGGCCGACAGGGTTGCCGAGTGAGCTAGAGTCGTCCGTGGGTGCATCGCGAGCAAACGATACGATGTTGCCAGTAGAATGTATATAGTGTATAGCCGGTGCTCGGATAGCTGCAACAATTACAGACTTTGCTGTTGCAACTATCCGGGCAGGTGTGTCGCACAAATTATTTCCGATTTCCTCCTTTTTCAACAGTTCCAAAATTTAAGGACGTGCAGTCTGTGGAAGATTATGCTGACTTTAAATTGTAATTATTGTAGAATGATCTCCTGATTCAATAGCAACTAATAAGATAGACTAAGGCACGACGCGCAAAACAAGTTAATTATCCCTGTTCCCGAACGATACGCCAAATTCCATGGCGTCACAGATACTGATTTAATTATTCCGTAGCGAACAGTACCATTCCTTTACTAAAATAGCTGGAATATAGAAGATCTCTCGAAATATTGTGTAAGCGAAATGGTTTAATAATCCTGAAAGATTCAATTAATACCAAAGCTATCGCACTTCTTTGCGAATCGCCGTGGCGTACAGCTCAGGCATTTGTGGAGTTAATTGAATCTTTCGGGATTATTTCCAATTGTAAGATACTCTTTTCCTAACATTCGCGTAAATTTCTGCGTGTAACAAGTTGCAGTTGTGTCCGGAATTATAAACGACGAAGCAAACCCGAGATAAATCGTATTAATACAGTCGAATTACTTATTCTATCTATCCAGAGTCAAATATTATAGTCATCGGACAGATCTGAAATTTATTTGCGTCTGCTACTAATATTATAAACAAATATGAAACTTTTTATACTTAAAAACGAGAGAACAGAAGAGATTTTTTTAATATACCAAAATCCCTGTATCTACCCTAGCTGCGGCGACAACTTCGGTCACAGTCACGCGACTATCTGTCCTATCGTTCTCGCATCTCGTGCGCACGCGGCAATGGCCACGCAGTGCACGCTCGCTGGAATCTACCCGATAATGTCACGCACGCGTGTCTTGCGCGCTCGTTTCTCGTTGCCACGAATTGCTTATAATTAGACCGTGCATACGATCGTGTAACTCTAAGTAAGAACGGGGGGCAGCGACGTGTTCCCCGCGAATGAAAATTCCAGGCAAGGTCTCCACCCCGCGATGCGCAACGCGTGCTCGTTTCGCTTCCATCGCAACGGAGCACAGGCTTGTATACATACATATATACAGTAAGTACGTTCGGTGCGCGCATGTTGTGGACGAGCGCTCAGAGCGGTTCTGTTCTCTCGTGAGACACAACCGGCAAGCGAATCGAGCAAATTCACCGTTCGTCGGCGAACGCAACGCAAAAGCGAGACGCGGGGCACGCGAAAATCGATCCGAAACTACTACTTGCTTTCCACGCGGCCACTCGCTTTCTCCCCGCGTCACGCTACCTTGGAAACAGCGCGTGCCTTCCCTCGATCATTCGCGACGTTTCTCACGCATCACGGATCGAACAAACCTAATTCAAAATTAACAATCGTTCCAAATTCACGCGTTGCCCTGATTGTCAATTTCGTATGGAGCGCGTCGACGCACGGCTGCGTAGGAGGGACACATCGTCCCCCGTACACCGTCTCTCCGTTACGTTACCTAC